CACTCGTGCACTTGCAAGCCTTGTCCAGCACGCGTGTGCCGAAGAACGGTCAGAAAGACTCCAGAAGGTGGGCGTGGGAGGAGCTCGCCGCACGAGACATCAGAGTTCAGGCCTCCGACAAGATAGATGGAACGATTGTATAAGAACACAATCGATGAATAACGAGATTTGTGATTGTAGATCTGTAGTTGAAATGTATGTTGAAGAACAAGAGGAAAAATATTGCTCCAAATGTTTCTGTATTCTTTTTATTTGGTGTGAGAAGTTTCATTACCCTTTTTGTGTTACATGTTGGGGTATTTATAGTGTTACAAGTCGGATAATGACCTTTGGATTAATTTACACTTGGCCTGATCTCCTCGGCCAAGATATCAAGTCCTAACCATCAAGTTGACTCTCTAGCCCTACAAAGCATTAAATGTTCTTACATTGATAAGACAAGACATAGAGTTTACTTTATACAAAAGTAACGTCAATCATTCACACGGATCTTTCATCATTGCAATATCTTTCCAAGTGGTCTTCTTTCACGCGAGGCTTGGGCCTGGGATGGCAGTGAAGGCATAGGAACTGTTTTCAGGGCCTCAGAGCAATAGTCAGGGCCTCGGAATCCACGTCAGAGGCTAAGAGAATACATCCCGGCCTGAATAAGTTGGTCCCACCACTGAAGTATGGTGTCACGTGTCGCCTCTATATTATGACTCGTAACAATATATATTATTTTTTATCTTCATTTAAAAAAAAAAAAAAAGGTGCCTATACATGAAAGGAGACATTTTTAGAACACTGTTGTTTATCAAACTTCAAAGCAAGAGTATAATTTTACGTCCTTTACTGAAAATGGAAAGCACATAAAATAGAAATACTTTTCCTATTCTATCCACTATTTCCTCCTGCCAATGGACACCCAAAAGGCCAAACAGCGTGCAAATGAAAGATGAACAATGACATACATAATCATACTACAAAAACCCACTTTTTCAAATTTCATAGGAGTAATCAAATCAAAGTTGTGTTCACTAGCAGTCAACACTCTGTCAGCTCTCCCAAAAAGAAAAACCTCAAAGCAAGAACCCTACCCTCGTATCACTTTTCTGTTTGATCTTCTTCTTCTTTGATGCTTTTTCCTTTTGTCACACTACTTTCATGGAGGCTCTGAAACTTTTTCCTCTCTACATTGCTCTTCTTCTTACTCTCTCTCACTCTGCTTCAGACGTTGAGTTGATTTTGCAAAAGCTCAAGCCTTCACTAAAAGGGGATTCGGAGAATTTCCTGTTGTCTACGTGGAATGCTTCTGTGCCACTTTGTCAGTGGAGAGGCCTCAAATGGGCCATCAACAATGGCACTAATTTAGTTTGTACTGACCTCTCTTCCCCACAATGGACTAGTCTTTCTCTATACAAAGACCCCTTTTTGCACCTTATTTCTGTTCGACTCCCATCGGCAAATCTCTCAGGAATACTACCTAGAGAGATAGGGGAATTTTCAAATCTCGAAAGTCTTTATCTTGGCGTAAATGCACTTTCTGGGACAATCCCTTTGGAGCTTGGGTATAGTTCTTCTTTATCAGATATTGATTTAAGCCACAATTTGCTTTCTGGGTCTTTGCCAACATCCATTTGGAACCTCTGCGATCGCCTGGTTTCACTTCGGCTTCATGGCAATTCTTTATCTGGTTCTCTTCCTGATCCTGCATTACCAGTTGCTATTTGCAAGGATTTGCATTTTCTTGATTTGGGACAAAATACGTTTTCTGGAAACTTTCCAGAGTTCATTACTAGGTTTGATGGGCTTAAAGAGCTTGATCTTGGGAACAATATGTATTCTGGTCCAATTCCAGAGAGTATTACTGGACTAAAGTTGGACAAATTGAATCTTTCACACAATAATTTTAGTGGGGTGTTGCCAAAATTTGAAGAATCAAAGTTCGGGGTGGATGTTTTTGAGGGGAATAGTCCTACTCTTTGTGGGCAACCCTTGAGATCTTGTGGTGGAAGCTCAGGATTGAGTTCCGGTGCAATTGCTGGAATTGTCATTGGTTTGATGACTGGTGCTGTAGTTCTGGTTTCATTGTTGATTGGGTATTTTCAAGGGAAGAAACGGAAGAGTGTGGACGAAGAGGAGGAATTGGAGGAAGGAGAGGATGGAGAAGAAGGCGGCGGTGGTGGTGAGGGGAAGTTAGTCATGTTTCAGGGCGGCGAGCATTTGACATTAGAGGATGTCTTGAATGCAACGGGGCAACTTATGGAGAAGACGAGTTATGGGACTGCATACAAGGCAAAATTAGCCGATGGAGGAACCATTGCTTTAAGGTTGTTGAAAGAAGGTAGTTGTAAAGATAGAAGTTTGTGTTTGCCTGTGATTAAGCAATTGGGACGAATTCGCAATGAGAATTTGATTCCATTGAGAGCTTTCTATCAGGGGAGAAGAGGGGAAAAGCTTCTCATTTATGAATATCTACCTAACAAAACTCTCTATGATCTTCTATATGGTAAGTTGATGATTTTTCTTTCTTTTTTTTTTCGTGTAAAAATTGTGTAAATTAGTATTATGTATACACGTGGAACATAGAAGCTTAATTGTTATGAAATTTTATTTGTTTTGCTTATGGACACTGATTCCTATCATAGTTAGGATTACTGCTGAATTGGAAGTCCCAACATACTGTTAGTACTAAGGTTTTTTAGGAATCTTAGTTTGTGCAGTTCGGCTTCCTCAACACTTGTTCCGTCAAAGCAATATATATTACCTTAGGGAGTGTACACAATTTGCCTTGGCAGAGGACACACCAAAATATGAATTCTTGTGCAAGCATAATCATGTGTAGCCTTCATAAATTTTGACCTTATATTGCAAGTCAGCCGCAGAACCCGTACACAGAGAATGCTATTTGCCACTATGTTTTCTCCTCACGTGGGAACTGACGATCCAATAGGTTTTAGGCATTGAGAAACATACTGCTTCCATTTATTCAAATGATAAAGTTTTTTGGTTTTTTATCCTCCATCATACACATTGGTTTTGATAATGCTTAGGCATGGCAGATCAGGTTTCACTTGCTTAGATAGCATTTGGTGTGAAATGGATAATTTGACTTTAAAAAATGGGTATAAATTGCATTTATTGATTCTAGAAGGCAAGCTCTCAAAACTATTATTCCGAGCTTTGTGATCTTGACATAATGGAAAATAATTTGGTACACAAGCCTAAATGTTTATCTTATATTTGCTCCTTGAATGCAGAATCCAGAGTCGGAAAACCAGTGCTGAATTGGGCTAGGCGACACAAGATTGCTTTGGGAATAGCCAAAGGACTAGCTCATCTTCATGGTCTTGAGACACCAATAACTCATGGGAATGTGAGATCGAAAAATGTTCTTGTAGATGATTTCTTTGTGGCCAGGCTCAACGAGTTTGGACTTGACAAGATAATGATTCCATCTGTAGCTGATGAAATAGTTGCACAAGCTAAAACCGACGGCTACAAGGCTCCGGAACTTCAGAAGATGAAGAAATGCAATTCCCGAACAGATGTTTATGCGTATGGAATACTTCTCCTCGAGATTCTACTTGGAAAAAGGCCAGGTAAGAATGGAGTAAATGGGGAGTTTGTTGATTTGCCTTCACTGGTGAAAGTGGCAGTTTTGGAGGAAGCAACAATGGAAGTGTTCGACGTGGAGCTGTTGAAGGCAACGAAGAATCCTATGGAAGAAGGGCTCGTTCATGCATTAAAACTTGCAATGGGATGTTGTGCTCCGGTGGCTTCTGTTCGGCCTACTATGGACGAGGTTGCAAGGCAGTTGGAAGAGAATCGACCGAGGAATAGGTCTGCTATATACAGCCCCGCTGAAACTCGAAGTGGAAGTGGTACCCCTTTCTGAGCCATTTCTATTTTTATTCAACTGTAAATTACATTACGGGTCGTTGCTAGCTAGTGAAGACGCATGCAAGCAGATGATAATTTGTTCCTTTGTTCTTAGCATTTTTTTTTTTTCAGTTTTTGAGGAAGGTTGTATTCTGTCATTTAGGCTATGTTTGATATGCCAACTTTTCCTTGGAACTTGAAAAATCAATTCCTTTTTCTTGCTTTTCGGTTGTTTGATGAGCCAAATTTTCCACCTAAAATGTTTTCTTGGCTGCCCAAATTCCATGAAAATACGGAATTCATTTTCCCACATTTTTCCGTGTAAAACAAAATCAAACGAACACTAAACTTTGATTAAAAAAATGATTTTTTAGGAAACAATTTTTTTTTTCAAATTTTTTTTTTTACTTTTTGGCAATGGGAACAAATTTTATAACCAATTGTGGAAAAAATTATCACTTTAATAGATACTTTTCATGTAAAACAAAGTCAAACGGATATAAAATTAAAAAATTTTTCAAACACACTTGAAATCGTTTTCCCTACAAAACATTTTCTAAACAATTATTTTCCCTGAAAATCATTTTCTAAGCAATTTTTTTCCTGAAAATTAATTTCTTTCCACCTATTTTCCACCCTTACAATCAAACAGGCCCTTATAGATATTGCCCTAAAAATTTGCTCTGCATCGAATGTGCAGAAAATTATTATATACTTTGGTTATTATTTCCTCATTCACACTAAACATAGTATGTCTGCATGATGACTTTGGATTTTAATAACTAAGGTAACATAGATGTGTTATGTGATGGAAAATTTACACTTTAGGGAAAATAAAAAATAATTTAGATTTTTCGATTTGGTGATTAGACTTGTGAGGTTGAGTAAATTGGCTTTGATATTTTGATACGATTGTGTCGCATTAGAAGTTCCCTTAGACTTAAGGGCGTGTTTGATACGCGTTATTTTTCAGGCAATTAGGAAAATATTTTCCACTTTTCACTTTTTTGGCTGTTTGATAGGCGAAATTTTCCACGGAAAATATTTTCCGAGTTTAGCCCACACGTGTGCATTTTCCGGCTTTTTGATGAAAATTTTTTCCCGCCTTTTTGGTGAAAAAAA